GACATTTGACTAGATACCGGAGGAAAAATATCACAATGCTTTCTTAATATGATAACAAAAACGGATTTTGAAGTCCTACACCGAATGTAGATATAGTAAAACTTTTGCAATTTTTTTGGCGTTATTTGCATGTTTTAGATTGATAAATGACAAATAATGACGAATGCGTTTGAACAATGAAAGTGTTTGTTTTGTATGGCACTGTTGGCACCTATTCTTAGCACTATTGTGGCCCGCGAACAATACAAAAACTATAGTGTGGCCCACGAGTACGACCATCTTGGACCACCCTGGCATAGATAATAGATCACATACCCATGATTTCGAATACAACATTTTCAAATAGTTCCTTGGATTTTAAACATGTTTGTCGACTGTCAGCAGATGTGATTCAATGACTACAGTTTACCACGTTGCCATGATACGCCGCGGAATTGAATGAGTGATATGCAGCAAAACTATGTTGTCAAAACCGCCGACAACGTCATTTGTTAGTTCAAGTGGTCCTGGATTTGACAAGCCGAATGCCACACTGCGGATTCACAAGTTGAAAATCGCAGACATCAAAATCGAATTTTGCATCTGATGTTGTTTATAGAAACATAAGGTGTATGATTGACACGTTTTTTTCATGATAACGATCAAAGTTTGTCAAAGGGATGAGAACTTTTAGTCCTATGATTGGCAATATGACTGCCGTATTGTTGCAGATCATTTAACTGGATATGATAATGATCCGGTTTCATTTTCGGGTGTTGTCAAAAACTGAATATAACTGAATACAACTGAATACAACTGAACACAACTGAAAACAACTGAATACAACTGAATACAAAAACTGAACACAACTGAATACTACCGCACACAACTGAATACACGGCTCGTGGCACGTGACATAAGTTTGAAAATGAATACAACTGAATATAACTGAACACAGCTGAATACAACTGAAAACAACTGAACAAAACTGAATACGACTGAACAGAACTGAAAACAACTGAATACACGCAACGAATACAACTGAATATAACTGAACACCACTGAATACAACTGGAGAAAATGGCACGGGACGCATAAGATTCGTGACGTCATCACTGATTACGTCATAATAGATAATGCGAATTTTAGAGATAGCCCCTCAAGCAATACATCAAACGTTTCAGAAGGATGAGGCGGTTTCATTACGGTTATTTGTGGCGTGATTGGTGACGTCATTGCTGATTACGTCACAATCGATAATGCGAATTTTGGAGATAGAACATCGAGCAATATAGCAAACGTTTCAGAAAGATGAGGCGGTTTCAATACGGTTATTTTTGGCGTGATTGGTGACGTCATTGCTGATTGCGTCACAATCTAAGATTTGAATATTCGAAATATACTGGCGTGCAGTATAATGCACCTTTGAGACAAACGAGATGGTTTGAATGTGGCGACTTTCGACTAAATTTATGACGTCATTAGTGGTTACGTCATAATATCAAATGCAAAATTTCAACATATAATCACGACTAGTATATCAAACGTTTCTGAAAATGAGACCATATTATTACGGTCATTCGGCGTGTTTAGATACGTCACCGCTGATGACGTCAAAATATTTCGACGTGATTTGTGGCGTCATCACTAATTACTTTATTGACGCTCGTGCAAATTTTTGAGATTGAGGTAACACGAAATCACTGACAATGTTACATGATGCATACTCAGTTTTGTCTACGAAGCAAAATATACGCGTGGCTTGTTTAGGAGGTAATCAAAATTTGCCTAGAGTGAAGAACAGTGGTTGAATGAGCGCCGATGCTTGTACATATGATATCATTTTATTTTGATACAAATGTATAGGAATCGTGTGGCCTCTCGTTTGGTTGGTAGCCAATATTGGGTATGGTGAGCTAGCTAGATATTTCAGGTGCATGAATTTGACTTAATGATGGAGGAAGCCGTAACCGATCAGCAGTTACGTGAACCACATTGCGACGGCGATAAGGCCAGCAAATCTGGATCCAATGAACTGAACCGCCTGCCTTCTTTTTATGGGATGAAGGTGCTTTAGTCTTCCTATTGTCTTGCATCCTGTGCCGGTATCTGCGGTACTTGGTGCAGTAAACCCAAACCAAGAACAAACTGAAAGGCGAGCATGATTATCTTAACAACAGCAAAGAAAAGTATGTAACATCACGTTTTGTTTTATTCGTGCAAAGAAATGACATGTTCATTAAAGCATACACATCAGCCTAACCAACGTGAAAACAATGAACTGTTAAAACACCAACACACAAACGAACTGTAATAAAAGATAAAAACACGAAGCCAGTGACTATTTTGTCCGATAGCTCATCAAAAACACTGGATGAATAAGCTATGTGTAGTGAATATTAGTCTGTGTCATAATAGGAGCCACGTTACATCTCTCCATCTACTTTTTTGCTGCTCTTTCGGCCCTAGTTCCCTTCTTTTGTCCCGGCTTTCTGGCAATGTGCGATTTTCTTGTACAAAGAAATGCTGGGTTCGACGCTTCTTCCATTTCGTTTTCAAGGGGAATATGGGAACGGTCTTTTTCAAAAATTAATTTTTGAAATATTTTCTCTTTTTGGCCCTCTCCCATCTCTCGCCATACTACATTGCTGTAGGAATACTTTTTGAACCTTGAACTTAGGGAATAATTGCCCCTGCCGTGAATGGCTCTCCGCATGTCTGTGTACTGCAAAATAGCATGGTCTTTAAATTTTTTGATTAGTTGAGGCAGCTTTTGTGGCTTCCAATCAATGTCAACTTTTATGAGGTTGTTCATCGACTCAGATTTGTTGTTGGTCCACAGCGCTTTTTGCATTAGCCCATTCCTCGGTTTGACAACGTACTCTGCAAGCAGAGGCATAATCTGTGCAGTTATATACCTCTTGATATCTTCGGGGAACTTTGAAATAAGCCTTTTGCATTCGACAGATTTGGTTTCAAATTCCTCATTTGAAACTGCTCTGGCAATTCCATCATCCCCGAAAAGAGAGGATAACAGCATTTTTTTCGACTCTTCGGAAATCGACCCCTTTGTCCGCAACAAACGCTGCACATTTTGGATCAAGTGTCGTGTGCATAGAAACCGCTGAACTCCCGGAAAAACACTTGTCAAGAGCTTTTGTTAAAGCAAACTCGTTGTCACTTCCAATCCTAATTTCCGAAGTGAAAGCAGTGGTTGATATCCTGGAGCTCAAGTGAGAGAAAAAGTGACAATATGTCGTGAATTTTCCATCCCAGTGGAGGTAAATTGGGCCCAAAAATATAGGATTTTCACCAGTGCTATTTCTTACAACTTTCGACTGCTTGTACACTATTATAGTGGCATAACAGGCACCAAGGTTAAACGTGCGATCAACACCCAAAATTGTTTTGTCACTTGTTGTTGAAGCTATTCGCTTGAGATCAGCGAGCTGATTGTTGGTATACAAAATCACACAGGGTGGGGAACCTTTGATTACCGCTGCCTCTCGCACGAAGTCATCTGTCTGTACCATGCTTAGCACATCAAGAACTCCATCAGCGAAAGTGCGTGAACCCTCTGTACCCCAACTGTCTTTTTTGGCATGCATTTTCCTATATCTCACTTGTCGATAGTCCCTCGGGGCATGAATCGAATCTTCGCCAATCATTTTCTTATAGATTTCCCTTGTGGACATCCTCGACTGCACATGATCATCGATGTTTTTTACAACTCCAGGAGGTGTTCTTACATACTCACGCTTGTTTCGTTTTGTATTTCCATGGGGAGGCATGGGCTGTTTCGGAAAAGCTCCCAGGTATTCAACGACAGCTTTCCCTTCACCGATGCAGGAACCATCGTAACCACGAAACCAGGACACCCGTTTTCGATAGTTCGTGTTAGCCTTTAGTTTGCTGTAAACTCTATGAAGAATTAGGATATCTTGGGTGTCGGGCATTGGCCGTAAATGCTCTTTCCTGAATTTTCCCCCGGACTTTTTCTCTGTGTAGAAGCCATCTTTATCTTTTCTGACGAATTTCAGGTTGCCATTTTCTTCAATGAGGAAATATGCTCTGGTAGACCCTGCTTTTACACCACACCACGCGCCACAATCATCTGGAACAAAATTCCTCTTGTTATTTTTTCCCAACTGTACCACGAATCCAATGTTGCTTTTCGGACCAGTGGGGATTTCTTTTTCAGCAATAACCTCTGCCAGCATAGTTGTGTAAAGTTCATTGGGTGCAAGAAATCTGCCACTCAATTGTATTTCACGCTCATCATTTGATGATTCGAAAGCAGTAGATGGACTTGATGTGGTAATTGGTGTGGTAGCCCTCATCTTTTTTGGCTCGAACGCATCAGCAGAGTCATCGCTGTCGTCACTGATATCCCAACCAAATTCAAAATTAATCTGGTCGAAACCGATGCTAGTATCAGAACTGGTTTCATCAAAATTGAGTTTTCCAAATTTGAATGGGGTAACGCCTGGAGAGTCAGGAATAGTATTCAAAGCCTCCTTTACTGGGGTAGAATGGAGAGCACCAGGATTAAATTCAGTTTCTTCAACAAGTGGTACAAAGTGATTTGGAATCCAGTCAGAAGTCATCGTCAGTTCTGTTGTTGTCCACATAATCCACAGATCTACGCCAACTATTTCTCTAGGCTTGATGCAATTGCTGAGAAACTTTGGATATAAGTCCCTTGTCCCATTAACAGGGGGGTACAGCATGTTCACTTGTCTTTTAATGATGTTAGAGAGTGCCATTATTGTCCAAGCTGAAGAAAAAGCACCAATACGAGTACAGTCGACACAGGCTTCGCGGTAGTCCGGGGACACATGACAAACAACTCTCCCCATATCAGACTGAATGTATTCGTCTTCATTATTGACCATTTCGATGCAAGTTCTTGTCCGAAGCTCATTAGCCATATCTTCAGAATCATTCAGAAGCAACGACACTGCGTTGAAAAGACAATTACCATCTGCTGTAGTCTTAAGTGGGCGTTTGCCTTTCTCCAGTCAATGCTTTCGCAATATGTCCAGTGAGTGACGATCAGTGGATGTATGGTACTTGGTGATATCTTTTTCATGACTTATGAAATATGGCATGATATGCTTTTCCCTGATTGTACATGCACAAAAAATGCCCCAATTCTTCTTGGCACTCTAGAAATAGAAATGGAGATTAGTTGTGAATCACCAATCACAAAATTTATGGAAAATGATGTTTAATTCCGCTATCAAGCATCCCTAATGGCGTTTCCACCATCACAATACTTTAAAATTCACATTGACCCCATTGAGCGGGAACCATCCGGGGTTTGTCAAACCGATTGGAACAGACACAAAATCCCATTTTCACCTTCGGGAAAAGTCGTCATATGGTTATGGAGAATGAAATTCCGTAAAATCTTTCCCATCAATACTGTGCTTAATCTATACATAATCGAATGGACTGTGTTCACCCGTTTTACTAACAATATATCCATCAGACAAGCAATTTTCATTCCCAAATTTGTAATAAATTCCGTCATGTGGAAATTCATTATTTCATAGTTATTTTTCATCGTGTTGACATAAACAGCGTTAACGTCTCGTGGCAATCCGTATTTACTAACTGCACTCAATATAATAATAATTTATAGCCTCAGTAACTCTTGGCAATTTAGCGATCGTCCGTAACTTTGCTCAGAGATCAGCGCCTACATTTTGAGCGAGTGCGCGTGACTTTACTTTTAATAAATTTCTTTATAAAAACACTAGACGGATGATGCACAATCTGTAATTAGGTCTATAAGAACGGAAGAGCGGTGAATTACTTACTCTGCGTAAGCGATGGAGTGCAGTCAAGAAGTCGAATGAACCATCGTCTTCCGAAGAGCACTTTCTGCATATATACGATGCTTGCGAGAGGTTCCCAAGTTCCATGATAGATTCTTCTTTCAATTTCTCGCAGGTGCCGTGGAACCAGTTTCCACATATTTCGCATAAAATGCTGTGGCTTCCTTCGGCACAATTCTTAAAGCATATGCCGCATGGTGATTCACTGGATTGATCCATCTCCTTCAGTTCTTAGTGACAACTTGAATGGACTTTCTCAGTAAAAATAGTCTAGCTAAATCAATTGCATAAGTTACCTAATACATCCAAGGGAAAGAAAGGTTCGATGAAATCTTCGCTTGGTACGAAGCAGATTTAACAGAATTGTACAGGCTAACGCGTAACAGAGAGGCAGCAGGGCTGAGTGCTGTATACATAAGGCTTTGGTCGCAATCATATAACGGTTGGTATTCATCCGAGGGCAAGCGATACAGATTTGTAGTCCTGTCGTAAGATACCTTGGTTACTACTCGCATAAACCACTTACGAAATTATTGCTTATGATCTCATCGGAGAACTAAGACCAACGAGCATCCAAATAACCCAACACCTTGCGCGGGCGAAGTGTCAGAAGTCTTGTTTGAGGTTTGAAACGACATCTGGTGACCTGTGACCCCGGAGACAAGTTTTCAGCGTCAAATGCGACACTAAACTAATTTTCGCAATTTGATTATGTGGTAATATTATTAAAACAAGCGAAAATATTCAATCCAGGTGTCAGTGATTCATCGCCAAGTGCTTTAGTTAGAATACAAAACACATCCTTCTTCAGCACTTCCGTAAGCAATCCCGTACTTAACAAGGAATAATGGGTGGTTTGCAGCTAGGCGGTAGGCTACAGCGTGCTCAGCGTTAGGAATACACTCGACATCGCACCTTCGATCCCTCTGCGTGGGTTTGCAGGTCCGTATCACATTCGGAGGTTAATTTTATGCGAGAGGGTTGCTGTACTCCTCGACACTATTCACGTTACCGCTGGTCGGTTACGGATTTCTTCACCATCAAGTCCATACCTCTAAAAACAAATACCGTATATGCTCGTTTAACCGCCCGGTCTTGATTAAGCGCCCGTTTGAATAGCCGCCCGGTGTGAAAGCTGATTTTTCAGTGGTAGAGAACAATAGGAAATAAGAAGCGTATTATGAGGAATTACTCTTAAGACGTGAATAATTTGCGTTTGACATGGAAAAAGGATTAATGTCGTCAAATATTTGTCTTCAAAGATACCGGTATCGTAATTTTTGTGTATAATTTCACTTTAAAAATAACAAGCGCTCCTGCTTGAATAAGCGCCGGTTTGAATAAGGGCCAGGTTAGTGAGTTTGTTTAAAAAAAATAAGCGCCCGGGCTATTAAACGAGCAAATACGGTAACTGGCTAACTAACCCACACCTGACATGGATGGTAACCGGACGAGAGGTCGTGGTCAGCCCTAGGATCAAGCCGTCTTTTGTACTTTACTCTCCCCGGGGATGAATATGTAAACCTGTCAAACAACTGAAAACGAACTGTCTTTACTAGTGTGCACACGAATATTCAGATCTGCAAATGGACTGCAAGCAATCTATCGTGAACATCCGATGCCACAATAAGCCGCATTATAATACAATAGTATGTTAAATAGTAGGCCTAAGCAGGGGTCGGCAACCTTTTATCGCTCGCGGGCCAAAATTAAAGCTTGCAAGTCATTAGCGGGCCGCACATATTTTAAAAAAAAGTTAAAAACCGAATGGATGGCCAATGAATCACCTTTTTCACACAGATCCGACGTTAAATTTCAAACAGCGCGCGAAGACTGATCATTTGAATATTTTCTGCGCCATTAAACCATTTGGACTCGGCATCAACTACGTTTTGTTGCCATTTGTCTAATTATAATAAAATTATAGGCTCATTAAACGAGATTTATATACTTGTTAGATTATAATATAATTTAGTCTAAATCAGTGAAGCGTCGCGGGCCGGATTATATTGCTCGGCGGGCCGGATACGTCCCGCGGGCCGTAGGTTGCCTACCCCTGGCCTAAGCTATAGACAGGATCGAATCTAGACGATGAGAAATAAACAGGCTACGACATTTGTGGCCCCTCTTCAACAATGAGATCTTCATAGAATATATTATGACGCGATGAATTGATTTTGAAAATTGCTTGAAAATGAATTATAGTTCAAAAATTAAATGTTGAGACGAACACGCGGCGGTGAGGGCGGATCTGGTCGGAGAACACCGTCATAACGAAATCGCCTCTAGTTTTCGGAATCATAAGAACTATACCTGTCCCTGTGCTATTTCGAAAATTCGCATTGGCGATAACGATGTGATATGTGATGATATCATCAATCACGACAAAAGTTACCGCACTCAAATCATCTCGTTTTTATTAAGGGTGGATTATACTGCACGTCACTATATTTCGAATATGCACATTTGTAATTGTGACGCAATTTGTAATGACGTCACCAATTATGACACGAATAACCGTAATGAACCACCTAATCTTTCTGAAACGTTTGACGCGTTGCTCGAGGGGCTATCTCCAAAATTCGCAATATCAATTATGACGTAATCAGCAATGACGTCACCAATCACGCCAAGAATAACCGTAATGAAACCGCCTCATCTTTCTGAAACGTTTGATGTATTGCTCGAGAGGCTATCTCCAAAATTCGCATCATCGATTATGACGTAATCAGTGATGACGTCACGAATCTTATGCCTCCCGCGCCATTGTCGAGTTGTATTCAGTGGTGTTCAGTTATATTCAGTTGTATTCGTTGCGTGTATTCAGTTGTTTTCAGTTCTGTTCAGTCGTATTCAGTTTTGTTCAGTTGTTTTCAGTTGTATTCAGCTGTGTTCAGTTATATTCAGTTGTATTCATTTTCAAACTTATGTCACGTGCCACGAGCCGTGTATTCAGTTGTGTGCGGTAGTATTCAGTTGTGTTCAGTTTTTGTATTCAGTTGTATTCAGTTGTTTTCAGTTGTGTTCAGTTGTATTCAGTTGTATTCAGTTATATTCAGTTTTTGACAACACCCTCATTTTCTGCTGTTAGGCTTGGCATTAAATGTTCATACTGCGGTTCTTTTGTTTCTTTGCGCATATTATCACGTATTCAGCAGAATGGAAGCAAAATTAAGGATTTATATAAACCGCAGCAAAGTTAGCGGGTTAAGGGGATTTCTATTACCTCAATGCTAACGATTCATCTATTCAAATAGTGATATGGGGAGGTATAGCCTTTCACACAGAAGTGGGCAGTTGACCGTCTGATTTTGAAGTCCTCACAAATCAATTTCAAATTTATAATAACTTTATTATAATGATTTTAGTTCAATTTTCAATAAAGACTTCATGATGTTTGGAGCGATGGTATAATTTGAGTGAAAACTTTTTTAGTTTAGCGGAAACGAACAACTGCAGACCAAAATTTTGCAAAATAACTTCGCATTTTTACAATTTTCGATTTCATGCACTTTTATTTCATCAGAACACTGACATGATCGCATAGGTATGTTTGGACAAAACTGATCTGCCGTACAATGCATTCTCGCAAAGATCATTCCTGCAAAAGTTCGTTCTCACAAAGCTACTTCTTTGCAAAACTACAATCTCGTGAATATTATACTTCCATAAATATCTATTCTTGCATGTATTGTACACATTAGCGCAAAAGATCGTTCTCTCCAAGTCTCGCGTAACATTGTTTTCACAAATTGGTTGTTAATCAAGGCTGTGGAGTTTGGCAAGTTTTCACTAATCGACGTCTTTAATTTCATGATCCACAATGATAATGAAAGTCAATATTGGTTGGAGTTTTTTACGACCCGGAGTTAAAAAACTGGAATCGTCGGAATAGTCGACTGTAAATTTTCCCCAACTGCACTGCCCCGCTGCTAAATTATAGATATAGACCATCGCTTGGCGTCGCATGTGGAAACTTCTGGTCTGGTCCATAGCTACTGTAGCGCCTGACTAGGATGCAACATGCAACCCAAAAAAATTCCGCGAATATTACTAAACGAAGAACCTCGGTAATTACGAACCACTGATCCATAGTGCCATACTCAAATTCCGTTTGAAATGCATCATGAAATCAATACACATCTTCGAAATGGTATTGCGTAGTTACTGTATCACCCTTGCACGCCAACGAATAATTCTAACTGGTTTACTTTTCCAGAAAATCTGCGCACAGGCGCCATCTAATTTAACAAAAGGAGCCAGCGCTTGATACAGGGGCGCAGCCAGGATTTTCAAAAGGGGGTTCACTTTTTATGCAGTTCAAAATCCCCAAGTATGCGATGAAAAAATTAATTAATTTAAAGAAAAAATTAATACAATACACTTAACATTGAATATCTGATATCCCGGAAAAAGTCGCGTCAGGACCCGTCGGTAGTTTTAGAATGGATAAAAAGGTACTTGGCGTGCATAATTGACCGCTTGATAATGTGTGCCGCACCACGCAAAATTTTGCGATTCAATATGTCTGCAGAAGCGTTTTAATCTGCCGCAGGCCTCCTAAAACAAAACACATGGTGTTTTCAGTTTTATTTTTAGTATTTTATATTGCCGCTTTTTAAGTCTAGGAAATTTGGGCTGCGGATTCGCACCTTTATTTATCTTATATAGCTTAAATAACACATCACGTCGACGAAAACAGTCACCGACGATTTTGATACCATATTCCATTTAATATCCATATACGGTAAATAGGAATATACATAGCCCAATAAACCTATTAATTTCAAAAACACTGCAAATAGTCTCTGAAAATATAAAACAACGCAACTTCACAAGAGCAATTCGTACCAGGAACATAAGAAGTTAACTACGGTGAATTCATATTCCCAACAATGTTTAACCACAATCAAGCCTTCAAAACCGCACAGTAGATAGATAGTTTGTTGGTGATGAACCGTTATATATATCGATACTTTGCAAAGTAAGTAACGTAATACTAACACCCACCGGGAATCAGTTGAGTTAGGCTACAAATATTCAAGTTAAACAATCTATTCATTAAGCCAAAACAAATCCATGATATGATATAAAAATTTATGAAAACATATGTGCTATTTTATCATATCTATCGTTGCATCTAACGTATATATTTACGATCTAACAGACCACTTTGTACAAACTAATCTGACGTGCACTCAGCGAATACTAGTGGCGAAACCATACTGTACCGGTAGCGAGAAGTGGCTCAGTGACGCCATCAGTCCAATGATCATTCAGACCGTATCCAAAAAAGCTTGTGCAGAAAGTAACGTAACATTAAAACACCAGCATCCACCGCTAATCAAAATAC